TCTTATACTAACAGTCCTTAATAGGGAATATAAATGAATATAATAGGGGGTACGTTAATCACTATTAAGGATTGCTAGTATAAGGGGGAACATCCCCATGCATCCCCCATGTCAGCTCACGAAAGCTCGCCAAGAAAGGGCTGCAAGCTCCGAGCCCTTCGACGAGGTGGAGTTGGAAAGTCTCCCGTGGCCTGTGCAGATTTCCGGCAACAGTGAAGTAACCATCTTTGAACAACAAATTCCGGCTATTCTGATCACTTCGGATCCGGGGTGAGGAAAACTGCCGAGGGCCGAGACCCCAGAACAAAGTCAAGGCAACGTGCTCTGGGCCGCAGGCTTGCTGCTGGTGTTTGCCAGCGACAGGTGATCTACCTGGAATCGGTGTCTAGTGCCAGGACGTGTCGCTCCAAACGCTGTTGCCCTCTGCCTCGTAACCCCCCGCTGCTATCCAACTCGTTGCACTTCGACCACTTCCATCCATGGAAAGTGCAGACCCCTCACAAACCGCTGGAAGCGCAAAACCGCCTAAAACCGTGAGCACCGAGCCTGGCCATGGATGACCACAAGGTCACCGGCCTATCAGTTCTGAACTCAACTTGCTTGGAAGTTCTTTTGACTTAGTAAGTCTGCGTAGGATTTTCTAGAAACCCGATGATAATCACCATAACCCACCCACTAACCCTACTTACCAAGTCAAAAGGACTTCCAAGTGCTACGCAAGCCCAAAATGTTTAGGGTTTAGGGTTTCGTGCCTGGGGTTTCAGGTTTCGGTCAGGCAAAATTTGGAGAACATGAGAGTTCGCAGTGCTCCGCCAGGCCTCACATTCTAAGGCTTGAAAGCCTTTTTCCCGCAAGCCGCTGCCTCGATCAGAAAATAATCAGCGTGTCTCGATCTATTCACTGGAAAGCAACTGAACGACCGTTATGCGGTGCGGAAAATTCTTTATCATGACCCCTAAACGACTTTAGTGTGTCGTCCGTTAATTGTCGCTTCGTCATGGATTCTAGAACGCCTAAACCCTAAACCCTAAGCCCTGAGTGCTAAGCCCTAAGCCCTAATCCCTAACCCTGCCAGAAAAAGAAGAACTACAAAGATCCAGGCTTGGTGGCTCGAAGCCGGCAGGCATCTTCCCCTTTCAGGGCATGCGTGCTGAACAACTGAGAGTTTCCGGCCATTTAGGGTTCAGGGTTTAGGGGTCTTAGGGTTTTAGGGTTTAAGGGTTTTCGGGTCTGGGGTGCAGAAGGCTGTTCTCGGTTTGGGCATTTTTGACCGGTGCGCGCATGGACTTAAGCTTCCCCAAACCTCAGCGCCCTTTCTAGCGGGGAGGGCGTGGGGCAGGGAGGTGGAGGGGAAAGAGGTCGGGATAGTTTTGGGGAAAAATCTGGGTGGACCTGTCTCAGCACTCCTTATCCTGTTGCTCATTGGGACCATGACATGCGACAGGCACTGAAGGATCCCAGCAGCCTAGCAACTGCCTTCATGGAAGAGTCCCTCTGTCACAGAAACAGCCCAAGAACCGGCCCGAAATAGAAGGTGGGCAGCAACCCCACCGCAAAGACCCATTATCAAAGAGGCTGAACACTGAACTTCCGGAAGCCCCATTTGGGGTTGACGAAAAGCAGGGACCCTTCATATCGACCCCAATTAGTACAAATTCCGTACCATAAGGCCCCAAGAAGGTACCCATGATTTTTGGAAACCCCCCTTTGAGTGACGAAGTGTGCATGGCAGCTTGCCTCCCACTCCCATGCCGGGACCTGCCATCCAAAACTTCTCCAACAAAGGAATGAACGGTCTATTCTTGCAAAAAGAGGAATCCAAGAAGTCTAGTTAAAGTTGTCAACAGTTGGTTAAGTAGAAAGTTTGCGCACGAACGTAGAGGACAAAAAGGCAGTGCTCAGGACACCGTACGAACCAATGCATTCCTTTACAAGTGCTGCCCCCATGCGGTATAAAGCCCGAGCACATGGAGTACACATGCCTGCGTACATCAACATGCTCCATGAATCTACAACCCCGAGGGAAGCGTAAGGCCAGGCCTTATAGTTGTACTTGGAGGTTCATGGTACTTATTAACCAATTATAACTGTACCTGTACTTATAACCCACTCATAAGCCCCTTACGTGCCCTAAGATGGCTATAAGTACAGCTACAAGTACAGTTATAGGTTAATAAGTACCATGAACCTCCAAGTAGGGCTTAGGGTCTAGGGACAAGTCGATGGCAGGCTGTGCTCTTCTACGAGAGGCCTTGCTGTCATCCAGGTTTTCGAAGATGAGCTGCCTTGATTTGCAGAACTTAGTTGCTGAGTTCAAAAGCCCCACAAAAGTGTACACTTTCAGTTCTGTAGGGGATTATCGTATCCCAAATGTAGAGTGTGCTCACTCAGCTACTAAGATAAGAAGCGTCTGACTTTAAAATCTGTGCTACTGGGCTTGCGTGAACAACCCAATCTTCTGACGCACAATGCTTGTTTTTCCCGAGCTGGCAGGATCGCATCCATGAAAGCTTCTTTCGTTTCGAGGATCAAGCAGGGCTTAGCTTTGAAGACTCTGCGCCACTACTACTTGCTTAAGATAAGAACCACCCAAAAACATAAGATAATAATCCCTATATTGGCCTTATAACGCAGAATCTTTCTATTTTTGGGGTTTTTGAAACATATGGTAGAAGAGGAAGAGCGCACCATGAGGACGGCAAACGACGAATGACACTTACGTACGTCAACGACAAAACGTCCCCTCCGCAGCTTGACGGGTTTAGGGTTTAGGGTTGCAGGTTTTTTGGGGTTTTGGGGGCAGCTCAACCCTCCGAATCGCACGAAAACGCCAGGAAGGTCAGTGGCTCACAAGCCGAGTTCTCGTGAGTCCAAACGATGGTCAGAGTCATCGTCCGAGGCTCTCTTCGCACCCTGCCCCCTAAGGCAAGGGTACTTACACGGTCCCTTAGTATGGGCCTGAAAGATAAAGAACGGGGACCCCAGAAATATCCCCTAGTATACCCAAAACAATTAAGGGCCCCTGCATCAGAACCCTGTAAAGGAGGTAAGGGACCATATTAAGAGCCCATGAAACTACCCGTAGAATCCCGTAGATGCCCACACCGATGCCGCAATGGTGGTTCTGAGGGTTCGCGAAGACCGTTTCAAAAGCCCTTAGACCCATCCCAGGGACCTTCAAGGCCCAAGAACACCCAAAATGCTAAATCGCACGCAACCTCTCCGTGGAAGGCAACCGAGCTCCTGGCGTTGCTTTGCGGTTCCCTCCGTCGAAGTACTCAGGGTTCCGCACCTGGTCACTGGACCCTGCTGAACAGCACCGAAACAGGGTTTGGGCTCAGCGGCTCAGGGTTTGGACTAACCGCGCGGGAGCATCCATAGACGCTGAGCCACACGCAAAGACTCTCCGAACTGCTTCCTTGTGCGATCCAGGCCTCCATCCAGGGCTCGCAATCGAGAAAAAGGGTTGGGATGGGATGGACTCCTATGATCATGATTCGATCAAGAAGCAGGCAAGATCGTCATCCACCCTAAGGGGACCGCCAGCAGGGGGCCCGTCCAGTCCAAGGACTCCGAAAACCTCCCCAAACTTTCCTGAAGCCGTCTCCTTTTCTATGGATTCCTTGAAACCTCTCAACTGAAGTATGCTGGGAACTGCTTTTGGCAAGGTGCTTGATCTGCTTGCCTGGCCCACAAGCAGCCGTTCTCCAACGTTGCATCGTCCAGGGCTAGCCAGAGACCTCTGCGATTCTCTTGGGTGGGTTGAGGTTGGGTTTTCGATGCCCACTGTTCAGAACATCGCGTACGAGCCGTATGCCGTATGCCATTGAGGACCCTGAGGGCCCAAACCCATGCAGGTTGGTCTGGGTGTGGTGTGCAGGAAGGAGGAATCCTCGCCACCGGCACAGCAACCGCAGACTTGGCAAACTCAAATGTAACTCTGCGAAGGCGTAGACACAGCTTGTTAAGCCTGCGAGACTGCTAGACCAAGACCGGATATGTGTAGTATAGGTCCTTAGCTGGAGTTTTCCGAAATGTTTGCCCGGGTACGTACACCGAATTCAGGGCACTTGGGGGCTCGAGGCAGCCGGGAAGAATGATCTGCGGCGCAGGTTTTGAAGCGAAGCTTCAATGGCATCTGAAAGAAGTTCCTGTACAGCGAATGTTGCAAGGGAGATCGGCAAGTCCGCGGATTACAATGCTGGCAGCAGCAGCCTCTTCACATGCAGCACGCAGAGATAGCTGCATACGACTGTGTGCAAACATGTAGTAAGAAGTACTTGAAGGTTCATGGTACTTGTTAACCAATTATAACTGTACTTCTAGCTTGTAAGCCCCTTAAGTGCCCTAATATGGTCACTAGTACTGTTAATCCTGGTTAATAAGTACCATGAAAAGAACCGTCTTCAGCATAGTGATAAGCTCACAACATATACTGACGATGTGACAACTGTAGTAGGAGTAATAAGTGTAGTAACAAGCAAGGCAATTCTGACGGTTGTAATGTAAATAGCAATAATGAATGAAGTGATGAACGTACTACTAACAGCAACCATAACAACCACGCCAACAAACCCAGTCATGAGCATGGTGATGAGTTGCGTGCACAGCATGTGGGGAGAAAAACAGCAGCAAGCAGGTGTTTCGGCACAGGTGACTTCTGACCGTGCACGCCTCGCCCCCTCCAGTCGCATGAAGCAGCAAATGTTGCTGAATTGATTGGCGATTAGGGTTTAGGGCCTAGGGTTTAGGGATTAGGGTTGGATATTTTTGAGATGCCATGCCCACTTACCGCATGCCACCTTGGAAGTTCAGAGGCACACGCTGCTTGCTGCTCAGCTAGCGCAGATTGCTCACTCCAATTCGTGCGCGTCAGGGCGAGCCAGGAAGCTTCTTGACCAGGAGCCCACAATCCACGATGCAACGAACTGATGAACTTCGAACCAAACTCTGAAAGGATAACGCACTCCACAGCTTCAGCCCATCCATGTCTCATAGCATCAGTCCTCATAGTCTCCCTCCGTGCGGGGAATGGAGCCCGCACTGCGTGCGCGGCGATGCCCACGGCGTGCCCTCTTCAGCCGGTGCCCGTGGCTCTGGATGGAGGGCTTGAAGACTTCCTCATGGGATGCAGAATGCAGATGTAGAACTGTGCACAATGGAAGCTACTTACGACTGTCTTTTTGCTGATTTGAAAGCTCACGGCTTACGGCAACCAAACATTCAACCAAATTTGCTTTCTGGACCCTTATGGCTACCCCACACCTGCACCTGTCTTACATGGCATGCAAGTTTCAATCTGGAGAGTGATCCTGGAGCGCACGCCCGTTCACTTGACAAAACAAATCTGTGGAAAACCTAATTTTGTCCCCCTGGATGCCTGAGGCCTGAGGTTTGTAAATACACCCTCTTCTCTGCGCATTTGATCTTGAACATTTCAAGTATGTAGTGACTTTCCGTCCGCTTCAATCACTTCCCTGTTGGGTCGGGCCCTTTTCATCCGAGTTTCCACAGGCAGGTCAGGCTGGAAGGAAATGGCCCACACCGTCACAGGTTCCAAAAGGACATCCACGCTGGTGAGCTTTGTGGGAATGCCCTGGACCATGACTTCCTGGCCCACACGGAGCCTGCTGGCTTCCACCTAAGAGCATCGTCTCACCATGATGAAATGGTAGAAGCTTGTCCCTACAATCTACGAGCCAAGGGGCTGTGCTCTTGTCCGGGAGGACCACGCGGTGGTCCAGTGTGACCTGAAGTGTAGCAGCCCCGGCTTGCAGCAGCACCGTCTTGTTGGCCTGCGTTCAGGACGAAAGGTATCATTGTAATCATTGTTCTTACAACAATTCATCTTAATACAACGCTTCATGTTCTTTCGATCTTCCTTTCTACTGCTATTCTTACTAAGCTATTATTACACTTACGTATCATTGTTGTACTACTGTTGTTAAACCAGATGGAAAGACAACACCAATGTTACCGAAGTTCGGTGTGATGCCGAGTTCAGGTCCCGAGCGCTGTTATTTGGCAAGATGGGTTTGCGGTGCACCAGCAATATGGGATCCCCGTGTTGGAGTTTGGGACGTCCAAAGGGGTCTCAGCGTTTGCACGGGGTTCATGCAGGGTTCAGCTCTTGAAGGTTCAGGCATGTCAAAACCAAGGGCATATTTGGGAGGTCTTCGAAACACAAAGATGCTACCAGTAGAACTTTTTGGGCACTAAGGTTTACGATTTACAAACGGAGCCCATAGTTACTTTTCGAGACAAACGCCTGGTGCTGCTTGGGCGGAGAAGCGACCTGCACCACGAGGCCATCAGCCGCCAAAATCTTCGAGCCTTCTTCGAGCTCCTCGGCAGAAACCATGACGCCACTCTCAGCCTTGAAGGTGGCATCCATCATGAAGCAGTGAGGCCCAGAAGTGTCCACGGAGATCCCGGAAGTGGAGCTTTGCGTCACAGGCCCCACGGAGCCTGGGTCGCTCAGATGCACCCAGGACTCTTCGCTGCACATGGAGCTGCGCTCGTCCGTGGGATGAAGTTGTGGGCCGACACTCAAGGGAAAGGTTGCCTTCTTAGCCTCGAAGAGCTGCTGCTCCAGCTGATTACAACGCCCCATATACAGGCCTTTCTGTTCTGCGAGGGCTTGGATCTGACTCGCTTTCGCACTTTCCTCTGCCTCTGCTTTGGCGAGTTGTTGCTTGAGCTGCTCGCATCGATCCTTGTAGACCGCATTTTCGATAAGCAGAGACTGCAAGTCCCCCTCGTTTCGCGGCTGATCCTGCGCGAGGCGCTGAGCTGCCTGATCGGATGCTGCGGCCTCCGCTGCGTGCACCTGAAGCTCCAGTTGCTGGCACTGCTCCTCGCGCTTGGCACGTTCACTTTGCAAAGCCCGGACCTCGTCCTGCACCTCTTCCAAGCGAGATGCGAGCCGGCCGCGTTCCTCCTGGACCGCCTGCAGCTCGGCATCCTTGTCGGAAGCTGCGGCCTCCAGCTCAGCCACGCGAGCCTCACAGAGCTCCTGGCGCCGGGCGCTCGCTTCCATCGCGGCCTGCAGCTCAGCAGAGCTCTCCTCCAGCCTGCGGCGCTTTGCAGTCTCGGCCTTCGCCTCCGCTGCGGCCAGGCGCCCGGCCAGCTCCCGGCAGCCTTCACGAAGCCACACCTCGCGGAAGGATTCACGAAACTTTAGCGGGACGTACCCGGACTTTCGCACCAGCCCCTCGGACGTGAAGTGCGTCACCGAGCATCCCTGCGCCTCGGCCAGGCCGTGCTGGAGGAGTACTTCGGCAAGCTGAGCCTCACGCGTCCCCTTGGAGAGCCCCCGCCCGGCGAGCCACTCCTGCCCCTCCTCAGCCCAGAGCTCCTCCAGTCGCGAAGCCAACGCTGCCTTGCCGTGCTGGACATTTGCGGGCCAATCTTTTGCTGTGAGGTGGACCCAAGCGCCGATGACAACCTCCAAGGGCCACCCAGAAGGCACCTCCCTCAGGCAATAAAACAAGCTCATGGATCCCATAGTGCCAAAGCGCGCCAAAGCCAAGCCTGAGCCTTCCCTTCCTGGAGCCAGATGCTAAAGGGATTGGCCCTGCAAGAATGCAATGACCTGGCAGAGGAAAGCCACCAAGCCCCCAAGAGGAGCCCTCTTACTTGCTTCAAGCGTGGGGGGCTGGCAGATTTCAGCTTGGATGCCCAAGCTGACTTTACTCAATTCGTCATCGTGCTCTTCCTTTTCGGGCGGCTTATTGTTTCATGTGAGGTCTTTAAAAAAACTGCGTAATCAATTGGTGAACTGGCATGAGCCTGCTGAGCCTGGGCGCCCAAGCTTCTTGGGATTACATGCCTATGCCTCGGAGGTGATTCAAGCCGCTCCAAGCATGACGAGCTTTGTGATTTTTTCGCTTTCTCCTGATGAAGAATGATCTTCAAGCAGAGGATGAGACTCGGTGCTCAGAGTATCTCAAGGACACCTAACACATCTAGAGAGGTCTTGTCTCGAACACAAACCCCTGGCCCTGCGTGCCAAGAATGTCAACTCATTTTCGCACGACCACCCTAGAGCCTAAATCCTTAAACCCCCCAAAGCCCCTGAACCTCCTGAAAGTAACAACCCTAAACCCTAAACCCTAAACCCTAAACCCTAAACCCTAACTCCCAATTGAAGCAGAACCTCGGCTTTAGGTGGGCTCCTGGTGTGAAGTGACCTCGCTTCCATTGACCGGTTGCTTGAAGATGTACATCGACTGTGGCAAGACCTCCCATTCTGTTTGAATGAATTTGACTGGGTCCTTGTCGGGGTTAGATTAACAATTGTCATTTTTAAATCCTTGTTGGGTTTTTATGATAGCAAAAAATGAAAAATTAGAGCCAACAAGGGCCCAGTTGAAGGGGCGGGGGTTGAAGAAATAAGGGTTAAACGGTTACGTTTTTGTCGACTAAGGGTCCTTATGGGCTTTTGGGGCTGATCGGGGCTTGTAGGGCGCAGTGGGGGTTATGGACTGTGCGATGGCTATTCAAGGATCTATAATATTATTGGGCGTCGTGTTTAGGAGTTGTTCTGAGGGTGTACAGGGCTTATTAGTGTTCACGGGCATGGTACTGTATAGGTTAGAGGGGTTCAGTGTTCCGGTTTATGGGGCGTATATGGTCGATGGCGGGGTTTCGGGTTGGTGGTTTACGCTAAGCCCTACCCTACGCCCTACTTAGAAGCTCTTTTGACTTAGCAAGTCTACTTAGTACCCCAGAAACCCTACTAAACAAAACCATAACCCACCTTACTAACCCTGCTTACGAAGTCACAAGGGCTTCCAAGCAAACCCGAATCCCTGAACCTGAAGCCGCTTGGGGCCGATATTCCCCTTATCTCCCGGGCGGACCGGGTCCCTCCAGCCGAGCTCCGCTACGAGATCAGACACCTAGGCAGGGTTTAAGGCATGGATGGGCGAGACGGGCTTTAGGGATGCAGTTATGAGATTCAAGGGCGTGTTGTTTGCTCAGCAGGTCCTCACTCTGTGGTTACTCTCTGTGTCACTCTCTGTCGTCTGTCTGCCTCTGTGCGTGTGTGCGTCTGTCCGTCCGGACGTCCATGTGTGTCCATCTGTGTCTGCGTGTCTGTCCCTGTGTGTGTGTGTGTGTGTCTGTGTGTGTCTCTGTGTGTGTCTCTGTGTGTGTCTGCGTCTGCATGTGGGTGGATACGTGTGTGTGAGTGTGGTAAATCCTGAACCGTTGAATCCGACTGCGCTCTGCGAAATTAACACCTTCACACAACGGGGCCAAAGACTTCGCAATGCAGCACCCTGAGCCTCACCAAACCCTGAAAGCGACAAAGACATCCTATTGTTAGCGCTTAGCCGCTAAGCCCTCAACTCTCAAACCTTCAGGAGCCCTGCTCTTTCTTGCTGGCTGGTAGGGAATGAAGGAAGAGGAGTCACTGCAACTATGTAGTTGGATTTTACACGCATGGCTCCTTCCTTACTGAGCAACAGGAACCCAGGCCTTGCTGGATTGGCTGTACTCCCGGAACACAGGATCCTCGGAGACAGACATTCATGGAGCTCAGGGTTCAGTGCTGTGTGCATTCGCACGGTTCAGGGTTGCTTCACAGGCCCTTCTGCAGAGTGACCGTGAAGCTCCGACACGGACTTCCAAGATTTGCTAGGTCGCTTCCACGAAGCTGGTGTGTGAATTTGCGGAAGCACCGGCCGTCTGGGGCGCAAACCGCAACATGGAGGCCGTGGCCAACCTGGTGCACGGCACAGAAGTTTGGGCCGTTGGGTGCAGGGCCCTGAAACGGGACTGAAACCCAAGTGAGCGCGCCTGGCCTTGTTCAAGGATCGGGCTTTCGACATGGACGGCTTGATCTTGCCGTCCTCTGAGTTGCACTCACGCAGCGAAGAATGCTTCAGTCACAGACGAGTCTGACGGCTGAAATCGTACGCCAGGAGCTAGTCCTCATCTCCGGCATCCTTTTCAATAAAGAAGTGGATGCGGTCGGCGCTGTCCAGGAAATAGTCAGAAGCGCCCTGGGCAAACTCTCAACCCCATGGCTTCAGAACACACCGCGGAGCCCTCAGCTTGCAGGTTGGAAGCTTCTTGCCACCAGGTTTAGGGCTGCGGGTTCCCCTCCCTCCCCCCCCCCCCCCAAGGTGGGACTACTACACGGAGAAGGATGGTGTCATGAACACTGAAACACCGTAAGCACCGTAAGCAGCGGCCCATCGAGACATTGAGGGAAGCGCGAACTGCAGACCCCGGCCAAGCCTGCATCTCCATCTGGTACTTCACGTCGGTGGAGAACTTTGCGGGCTTCCTGCATTGGCTACAGTGGCTACAGAGCTGCCCTTGGAGTTGCAATCGCAACCCTAAACCCTAAACGCTAAAACCTAAACCCTGAAGCCTAAACCCGAAACCCATAAGAGCCCCATGATGGCTTCAGCATAGCCAGCCCTGGCTGAAGCAACCAGGCTCTAGACTCCCGACCCCCGGACCCCCCCAAACCCTGAATTGCACGGGAAACCCTACATCCTAAAATTCCTATCATCATACCTCCCCTAGATTATACGCCCTACAAAAGCGCTCCAAGAAGCTCTTTAAAAAATCTTTTACTTCGAACATCCCCACCTTTGGGATTTGGACTGGGGTTGGGCATTTCAGGGAGTCTCTGCGGTTGGGCACTCCAGGGAGACTCTGGGGTTGGGCACTCCAAGTGGCACTCCAGCTTGCGGGTTAGGCACTCTAGGCACTCCAGGGAGTCTCTAGGAGTAGACCGGGGGAGGAGAAGAGTTCCGGGCGAGGAGAAGCGTTCGGGGCGAGGAGAAGAGTTGAGTTTAAAATCTAGCAACCCAAACACCGAAGGTGGGGAACTATACGCCCCAGGAAGCCATAAACCCAAAACCCTAAACCCTGGTCCAAACCCAAGCCCATTCAAGCCCACGCACTCGGGCGCGAACTCCGCTTGCGGATCCCACGAATCCACCAGCTCCTCTTCTGCTGAACTTGAAAAAATCTAAAACCCTACAGGTTTAGGGTTTGGGGTTTGCGGTTTAGGGTTTAGGGTTTAGGGCTAAACCCTGAACCCTAAACTTAAACCCTAAACCTATATGAACAGTTCCCCCGAAAAGGGGGGTTCCCTTTTCGGAAGCCTCCCATAACAAGGCCGAGAATGTAATATGAGCCCTAAGGATTAAAGGCCTATATGGTTTCCAGAAGTTCTTAAAGTCAAAACCAGAGGTTGCAGACCTAGTGTTGCTGGAGTTTAGGGTCCCGAGCGCGCCCCCTATGGAATCATGCTTAAGCAAGAGCTGCGGTTTAGGGTTTAGGGTCATTGGGTAGGCCTGAGGCTGTTCAGTTCAAGCGCATGCTTTGTGCCTAAAGAAGGTGGGACCGGGTCTCAAAAACATGAGCCTCTAGTGCTTCGGGCCTGCGACGGACCCTTGCAACAAAACTCTCAGCCCCAAAAAACCTAAACCCAAACACCATGAACCCCAAGCCCCCCCCCCGCCCCCCCAAACCCCAAAACCCTGAACCCTAAACCCTAAAACAAGCCCGCATCTCAAAGAGCCAGCCAAGCCATCTCCCAGCCTCCATTCTGGCTTTCATCTTCTGACACCTGGGGGATGTTATTTGGCACATTGCTACGAAGTGTTGGTGTTTGGGAGGTTTGGGGGGGGTTGGGGGGTTTAGGGGGGTTTAGGGGGGTTTGGGGGGGTTCGGGGGTTTTGGGGGTTTTGGGGGGGTTTGGGGGGTTTGGGGGGGTTTGGGGTTTCGGGGGTTTGGGGGGTTTCGGGGCTTTGGGGGGTTTAGTGTTTAGGGCTTTACCGTAGTTTTTTTTTATGTGGGCATAGGGGTCACAGGTCGACTTGCAGGAGTTGAGGATCTGGAGTGGGCTGCTGGGGACTTAGATGATTAGAGTGCCCACCCATCCCACAAGCAAGGCCCTGTGCCCGGGGTTTAGGGTTTTGGGCCTTATAAAGTTATATAAAGTTTAGGGTTTTAGGCTTTAAGGGTTTAGCTGCTGTTTGTCAAGAGCGAACTTTGCACACCACAAAGAATGCAATCGAGGCTTGAAGCACGATCCAGAAGATCCTTTTGCACCCCTCCTGCTCCCGAAGCCCTAACACCCTAAAACCCTCAAACCCTAAAACCCTAGGCGCCTAACACCCTAAAACCGTAAAACTCTCAAACCCTAAACGCTACAACCCTAAACCGTCGCAACAGCTCGAACAGCTGGGTGTCAGGCTCATCTTTGGAGGCGAATCCTTTCAGGAGGAGGAAGCCATCGTTCTCGAACTGCTGGCCTGGTCTCGCCATCATTGAGGCGCGTAATGTGCCCATGAGAATGACTGTTAAGTTTAGGTTTAGGGTTTAGGGTTTAGGGTTAGGGTTTAGGGTTTAGGGTTTAGGGTTAGGGTTTAGGGTTTAGGTTAGGGTTTAGGGTTTAGGGTTTAGGGTTTAGGGTTTAGGGCTTAGGGCTTAGGGCTTAGGGTTTAGCGCTTAGGGCTCAGGATTTAGGGCTCAGGATTTAGGGTTTAGGGTTTAGGGTTTAGGATTTAAGGTTCAGGGCTTAGGGAAGTTTAGGGGTTTAGGATAGAACCCAGAAATTTGAAAACAACAGGCATATAGGCCAGTCTTCTGCTATCCTGTGTAGGCATGAGGAGAGCAACCAGCCTGCATGGACCGTGGCGTACGCATCTTTTCTGCGGTGCAGCGTCCTGATTCCCTGTCCGAAGCCCTACCCTAAACCCTAAACCCTATAAACCCTATAAACCCTAAACCCTAAACCCTATAAACCCTAAACCCTAAACCCTAAACCCTAAACCCTACCACGGAAAGTCTCTCAAAGGCAATGTGGCATGGAGGCAACGTCTCAGCATGCCAGCCTTGGGGGCATTCTTCAAGGAGGGTCAAAGAAAAAGCGGCCGCAGGTGTGAAACCACCAGGGGCCTTTTTCAGAGTTGTACATCGTCCAGCCATGCTCCTCCGCAGTGTCCTCGAAAAAGAATTCTCCTGTCTCGGGACAGAAGAGCCAGAGCCGCCCCGAGTCGGGATGCGCAAACTTCTGCCACGTCTCTTGGGAAACTTCCTGGCACTGCGCTTCTTCTCTGGTCTTCTGCGTCCGTTGCGCCCCCCGGCGCTGGCCTTGGCTGGTGTGTGCCGACGCTGCTTCTTTCCATGGATCCCAGTTTGGGTCTGCTGAACCAATCCGTCCATCCTTCTGGGATTCTCTGGAAACCTTCAGCTTCGAGGCGTGGTGGCTTTCTGGCCATGCTCCCCATTTCGCGTCCCTCACGTGGGCCTCTTGGCTTGCTGCCGCAGCTGTGGGCCTCCCGTGCGCGTACGTGGCTCGCAGGCGAATGGGGCCACCCTTTGGCCTGTCCACCTCAAAACGTCTGCCCTGCCTCCCCATGCTTGTGCTGGCGACCCGGAGAATGTCCTCGACGGATCCTGGAATTTGGCACTTGCATCTAAGCTCCTCCATCTCAACCCAGCCAGCAACGTCTTGGTTCAGTCTGTACTTCGTCGCTTCGTAGCGCAAGAGCCTGCTCAGCGTCCTGGAGAGCTCATCCTCAGAAGGCATCCCAAGAGCGCTGGGACGTCACGGTGCCGGAATCATCGGCGCCCACTTTCTCTTAAGTGCTGCCGCGGCTTGAGCATCACGGGGTTTCGGGAAGCCAACCCTTAAGTCTTAATAATAGTAATAATAGTAATAATAGTAATAATAGTAATAATAGTAATAATAGTAATAATAGTAATAATAGTAATAATAGTAATAATAGTAATAATAGTAATAATAGTAATAATAGTAATAATAGTAATAATAGTAATATTAGTAATAATAGTAATAATAGTAATAATAGTAATAATAGTAATAATAGTAATAATAGTAATAATAGTAATAATAGTAATAATAGTAATAATAGTAATAATAATAATAGTAATAATAGTAATAATAGTAAGTCATTCCTTATGCTTCGCAAGAAAGCTTGGTTTCGCGATGCTTCATGCATTCATTGCATTGCATCGGTCATGGCAGGCAGATGCGCACCATCCCGCAATCTTCTCCATGATGCCCAGGCACTGCGCTTTATGCAAAACACAAGTTGTGGACATCAAGCTGGGCCAGCGGCGTCTATCCGGCACCTTCTCAGAACGAGCAGTCAGTATGACCCCCGCATGTCATTGGCATCGCGCTCTGATGCCTTGTTGAGTGATGCTTACATTTAGCTTCATGACCAGCAGGTGCTTTAACTAAAGCTCTTGTGCTTCGGTACGGTTTGCAGATTGTCATGTCTGCCAAAGCTGCCAAAGTCGACAAGACCACTTCGCACCTCCTCTGTTGGAGCCATTGCGCCGCTAGCAATTCAAATGATACAAAAGGTATCTAGGATTCCCTAGGTAGACATCTTGTCATGTGGTGGATAAAGGTATACACACAAACCTACTCAACATGCAAGTCGTCGTTGGCGAAATTCCTGCGGGATACGCTTGTTCCATGAGACAAAAGATTGACGTACTGGTGCAGTACCTGTGGTTGCGTCTGGAGCTCCTCTGTGTGGAGTGAGAGCAGCAATTTGAAGTTCAGAAGCAAATAGAAAGCCAGTTGCCATGCGAGGCCGGTGCGGTGCCGCAACCACCGGGGTCTCTGACAAAACGCTTGCACCACGCTGCTCCCGAAAGCTTTTCGCCTGTATCTGCATGGTCAAGTAGGGGGGGGAACGCCCGAAACATCTTGAGATGATCGCTGCAGATGTGAACTACGAAGCGAACTACTACGGATGGCCGCGGCCCAGGCCTTAGGTCCCCTAAAGCCAGGACGCGTCACCACCCATGCTCAAAGCATTGTAAAACGAAATGATAAGAAGGGCCACAGATCCCCAAGCTGGGATCTGGTGCCCCAGAGAAGGGCTTTCGTTGTAATCAAGGCAAGCCCCTAGGATGCCTCCAAAAAAACACAGGCAGCATGCTTTACGTTGCTGCCCAAGAACATGGCGCAAGTGTTGCCAAGCGCTTTTCTGAGCTGTCCATGCAGCTTACTAGTGAAAAGGGCAATCGTCCCAAAGCTGCAGAAAGTCTCCTTGCAGCTGCGAACGCTTGCTGGGACACTGGTACCTGGTATTCAAGAGGAGTAGGTCACCCGGTTTGAAGATGTGGCCCAAGGTATCCACGTTCGGCTCCTGCCAGCTTCGCTTTTTGAGGAGTCATGGGCTTTACATAAGGCTTAGGGTTTACCCCCAGTTGCAGCACTGTCTTGCATGAACAGCTACTCGCAGGCGCGTTCCCCTTTTGATATCTGTGCTCGATTCAGCCTAGGATCCAACCGTCCATGCCGATTGCCACCTCGCTTCGTTCCGGCGCTTTGGAACAGCCTAGCACAGCTGCGAGCCCCAAAACCCTGAACATCCCTGAACCGTTCCCCTCTTCACACTCAATCCACGCATACGGCTCATGGAAGTTCAGGTGCGAGCTTAAGCGTTCCAGAGGTCTTGTTCGGGTTAAGGACTCTCCGGGTTGAGTCTTGCCTCTCCAAAATGATCAAGTCGCCAGAACTTGTGCAAAGCAATGTCTATCGCAAAGCCTTTAGAGGTCTCCCTTTCGAAGGTGATTTCGTTTGGACAGGAACCGCTCTTGTGTCGCAACTCTCTACATTTCCCAGCTTCCAGCCTGACGTTGATGACGTCGCCGGAAGAATATGAACAGCATGGATGCCAATCGCCCCCGCCGATAGTGTTACGTTTGCAGTGCCGTACTGATATGTCCACTGTCCCGTCGTTGATATCCAGGCCAATGTCCTGGGGGCGAGGTTTCCAAATCCAGAATTGCAGTGGCTTGATCCCCAAGATGTCGCCCTAGACCCTAAACCCTAAATCCTAAACCCTAAACCCGAAACCCTAAACCCTCAACCCTCAACACTAAACCCTAGAAGGGAGCCAGGGGACCGAACCCCTTTTCAGGCTCTTGAGTTGGTCTGTTAGAAAGTTAAGTCGGTGGCTACGCCCTATGCGACCGCTGCGTGACGCCTATGTCCTCCGCGTTGAAGCTGAAGTACCTTCCGTAACCACCTGTTGCGTCGTGGTAGTTGTTCAGGACGTAGATCCCGGCGTGACGGTCGTACGGAAACGTAAACCCCCACATGGAGCCAACGCTCCGCCAAGGGCGGATGCGGAAGCTTGAAAAGATGGCTCCTTGAAGGGGCTGGTGCAGGACCAGCACGTCGTCAATGATGACCCAGAGGCTCCCTGCGCTCCTGACGTGGGTTTAGGGTTTAGGGTTTAGGGTTTAGGGCTCAGGGATGCAGCGGTGCCAGACCAAAGGCATGCAAAAAAGAAGCCACTTGGGGGGGGGGGGGGGGGGGGGGGGGGGAAGCGGCATTTCTGGGAAGAAAACGCGCGAACTGCTGTAAGCCGAGGCGCCGCTTGATGCGGTAGCTGTGCCACGTGTCCTCCTGCACCGGCGAGTCCATCAGCTCTACCGAGGCGCCGAAGAAGCCCTGAGGTTGTGGGCACGGCGGCTGTCAGCTTTGGGAGGCTTGGGGTCCGGCAGGCCCTAATATAGGGGCCTTAATGATCAGAATAGGGTTTACTATAGTATAACCTTACAGGGATCATACTAACATTTTTCCGACCCCCATATTCTTTGCATTGGTGAGTGCTGCTTTTGATATCACTTCTCTTTCTCTTTGAGGCCTAGGAGCCCATTGCTTTTTCAGGATTCCATCCAGGAGGAGCGTGGCAGGTGCAGTGTCAGCCCGCATCCCGAACTGCAGCGCGGCCGCTGTCCCTCCCAGCCCCGATAGGCGCATGTAGAAACCTTGGCTGGGATGGCCCGTAAACCCCTCTCTGAAAGGCACTCCTGAAATGGATCCTCCTAAACCATCTTAAACCCAATAAGGGAAAGAACATGTCCCAGGAGCCTACCGAGTTAGTCGCAAGAGGACTCCAGGGTAGGAAGCAAACGAAGCTTTCGACGAATTCTATGCTATACTCCCCTTAGAACCTTTAAAAAATATTTGTTTTAATATCCTCTTGGGTTTTAGAGAAACAGAAAATTTCCCAAGGAGGATATCGTATGCTGGGCGAGACTCCCACTTCCCACTTCAGCGGGTTGTTGCTCAACCGTCACGGACTTATCCCTGCCGTTCGCGCTGTCCTCCCCGGTGCACCTTAAGTACCTGGGGGTTTAGGGTTTAGGGTTTAGGGTTTAGGGTTTAGGGTTCACAAGACACAATCCTGGACCTGAAAGGGGGGAGAAAGACTCTTTCGCAAACTTGGGCCTCTGTTCGATGACCGCGCAGCCAGCGGAGCCCATGGAACCTTGATAATAAGGTGATTTCTTTTCTGGTGGCGCCAGGAGTGGCCACGGATGCGGTGTGGGCTGAACTCGCAGCACCAGTGACGAGAACTGTCCATACTCACCCGGCCATAACAGGGGGAACTTCTGGATTGTCACATCACTGCTCAACAGCTTGAAATCCCAGAAGACTGGTGATGGGTCATTATCTCGGCCTTGCGCGTCATTCCAACGGAAGTATTGGCTCGAACACACCTGCGGATTTGTTGGGTGGTCGGCACAGGTTGGCTTCGAGAAGTACTGGCCGTTGATGAACAAGCATGGCGTGTTGGCGCCTTTCGTGGCAACGCTCATGAGCCTTGCAAACCCAGCGGACTGCTGCACAGAGATCGTCTCCGTCACCTTGATTCTCCAATAACCAAGGGGAAAAAAGTTGAACTTTAACATTCCTACAAAACAAGGAAACCCAAAAAGTTCAACTAAAGGCGAAGTAAGTTACCCATGTGCCCGTTGCTGGCTCCAAGTTGAAGACCCTTAGCCCGTCCATCATTATGCTGCCTTTCTCAAGCGCTTCCATGGTTCTTGTCCAAACTTCGCTCTGCCTTTGTACCACCGCCCTGAAGTCGGCCAGCGGCTTTGGGGCAAAATTGGTCTCGCTGATGTCCAGCGCGTCCTCGCACGTGCTTCCGACGCATTTGATGTGTTTGAGCCTCAAGTCCAGGAACTTGTCTCGGCTTCCTTCCTTCAAAAGGTAGCGGTATTGTTCCTGGACGCGGCGGAATCTCTGCTGCATGGTCTGAAAGAGTCCGAACTGCAGCGCCGTCACGTTGGAGCAGGTGGGTTGGCAGGTGGGCTCGTTGGCGGGACAGCATTCTTTTGCCATCTCCGAACCTGGCTGATCGCGGGCTGCGACACAGAAGTCGTACATGTTGTGGAGTAGGTCTCCCTCCTCGAAACTCACACTGCTACATGGAATCGCACATCTGGACTACCACGTAGGTTCCTTGACCCTAAAGGCCCGAAACCCTAAACCCTAAACCCTTAACCCTTCCGCGGAGCTCGGCTTTACTGCTCGCGCCTTGGGGCTGAACTTCGCTTTGAAATGGGCGGAGAAGTCCGCCAGAAGTGCACCTGCGCTTCAACAAGCAGGCCCACACGGGTTTAGGGTTTAGGGTTTAGGGTTCGAGAGAGGGATCCCCGAGGACCCAGGAAATCAGCCGCTGCTAGCAGGCAAAGCCTTGAACATTCCGAAGCTCAGGATTCTGAACATCACAACGCGCCTGTGTTTCCGCTTCCAAACCAGCGCAGCTCCGTGAACCGGCCATCCACCAACACAGTGGCTTTTGTGCCGACAACGACAAGCCTTAATTACAAGTACAAGGTCATGGAAGGACTTCTGAAGCCAACAGCCTCTTCATATGAAGTAGGTTTATGTTTTTCTGTATCCCCAAACACCGAATATATACACACACCAATTTTAAAAAGGAACCTTATATACACTCACTAATATCAGTAATACTAGCTCTTCGCTTCAAAATTGACTCTCCAACATGGCAAGCGACGCCTCAAAGCGAGCCGTTGCGTCCGCAAGATCAAAAAAGATCTCGTCCGTCACAACCCCCCAATTCTCGTGCTTCATGACGACAAAGGGCGCGAAGGGACCATCTACTCCTCCGGCCTGGTCACACATCAGAACTAAGCAGGAGACGGCCCGAGTGTATTCACCCGACATGATGCGACCCTTTTCCAGCTACTGAGGAGCCTTGGCCAAGGATTCAGGGTCATGCCTACGTAGCCCTTAAGTTGGCAAGTGTAGATTGGAGTCGTAGTTGTCATTCAAATTCCCGAGCACATATTCTTGGACTCTAATGCAGAATGTCATTGACATGTGATGTCGTGAAACAGCTCGTGCCGCGCGGGTCTTGTCCGAATCATATGGGACGCCCCCTGGGGAAAAGCCTCAATAACTTGCGACTGGTTTCTTTCTTCATCCTTCTTCCAGCTCATCTTTTTGGGGGGCCGTCCCAGTTCGCATACACAAAAACTCGTGCACTAGTGCTTGCATCGGAATGAGGATCGACTAGCACAACACTTGGACAAGCAAGCCTTGTACTTCTGATTGAAGTGAGCATCCATTTCGGTCACAACGTCACCTGCAAAAGTGCGCTTGCCCTTTTGAACAACAGTAATTGGCTTGCAGTAGATTATAAGGAACCCACCTTGATTGCCGTAGTGTTCAATCTTGTTGCCCCAGCTGTCCACGAGCCTTAGGGCTTTCGTCCAGTCGTTGTAGCTTGGATCCCACCACGCTGCGTTCGCGGAAGCGAGGTCGTAGAACGGCAGGCTTTCCACATGTTGCCAGTTGATGTGCTTCATGATGACGTAGGGTGTATTCTGGACCTAGTCGGGCTACATCGACAAGCTCTGGTTTCAGCACGGGCAAAAGACGCTATCTTCTGGACTGCGAGAGGCAAGCACCAAAAAAGGCTGTTGCGTGCCTTGAAGCGCTCCAGGGTCTGCTCAGAGGGATCCGAGTTGTTGCAGCCCACGCGCTTGAAGTTGCTGACCAGGACCTGCCTTGCTCGATACAGAGCACGCCGAATTCCCTCAAGCGAACCCCTATTTAAAAAGACTCCTAAACCCTTCAACCCTATAACCCTATAACCCTAAACCCTAAACCCTACCCCCTAAACCCTAAACTCAAGTGTTCTGTTAGCTCGGGCTCCTTGCGACATGCAGCTGGCTGGCAGTCGCTGGGGCAAAATTTAGCAGGTGGTCCTGGAGGCAAGAAGATGGTAGGCCAGGATAGTGGGTAAACATACTAGGTGATCTAATGGTGTCCACAGTCCTTGCTCCTGTTTCGGTCGTATTGGACAAGGAAATGGAAACCACTATTATTTAACATCTAGATCAAGACAAATGGTCGCATGAGGCTCCTTGAGCATCCGAAGCTTCTTCTTCATGGTCCTTGCTGCAGCCGCGTCTGTTTAAACATATGAACACTGCTGCGCTCTCTGCCAAGAAAGCAAGTGGGCCCTTGTATTGCAACTTCCACAAAGGAGGAGTCCGGAAGATCTCGGCAAAGATGGCGAAGTGCACATTGGCTAAGGCGTCGAGCATGTAGACCGCGCCGGAGCCCAACCGTTCCGAACACTCCTCATTCTCAGTCGGATTTTGGGGCTTGAGGTGCCAAGGAATCCTGTTAAAACGACCCACCGGGCGACAAAGGTACCAAACTGCGAATTTCAAGATTCTTCGCTGCCCCAGCCAGACTCCAAGCAAGGCAAGAAGAGTTTGCGCGACAGATGAGAGACGCCCTTCTCCAAAGCCATGGCCTTACTTCTCCAATAACCCAAGGGCAAAAAGGTTAAGCCTTATGTTTTTCTTATTAAATAAAGGAAACCCAACAAGTTTAAAGTTCAACCATTGGCTAAGTAAGTGGCGTACGCCAAGGCAGAATCTGGCTCCATTGAGTCCATAGTATCCACGGAGACCAAGTCTTTGGTGAAGCTCTGGATCTCGAGTTTTGTCTCTTGCAGACTGGCCGCCGCGAGGGCGTCCTGCTCTGCTCTACTCCGAAACTTATAGGGTTTAGGGTTTAGGGTTTATATCACTTGTCACATACGAGTGGCGGGGGTTCAGTTAACTTTACCGTGCAAAGCCGAGCCAGGAACTAAGAATTGCCATGTGCACGCGCATTCCAAGGAAGGCTTTGCAAAATTGATGTACTTCGAGCATCCCCGCCCTTACCTTTCTTGTGGTTGCAGGGCAGCATCCACTACTTCCAGAACCGGTATGGAGCATGCATCAGCAAGGAAATTTCTGAAACGTTGTGCCAGCCTGCAGGCATGACATAACATCTGGGGTTGGGCACTGCACTCCAGGGATTCCCCGAAGTTGCACATGTCAGGTAAAGATAGGAACCTCGGAACTCTTTCGGATTGGGCACAGCAGGGATAAAGTCGGTAAGCAATGGTACATTCAAAGCCGGAGCTGGAAACCCTAAACGCTGCAGCAAGCACCGCAATCGCTGTGCACTGCAAGATGACGTCCTGAATGAGGCCTACCGTCTCATCTCTCATCTCCTGCATCCACTGCTCTTTGGCCTTCTCCAAAGCCTCATTGATCATCTTCTGGCCCTCTTCCGTGGTGAGTGGCTCGTCGGTCGGGATGAAGATGTCTGCGACAGCAATGACGGCACCAACGCCTGAGCTCAGGAGCGGCGAAACTCCTTTCATTTCGCTGGCGATGTCTGCTCCCAGTTGGATGGCAGCCTTTGTCATCTCCCAAGCTGCTTCCTTCCAGTTGTCGTCAGACAGATCCACACCCGCATCGGCCTCGTCCATGTCGTTCAACATCGCCCCCGACACAGCACCGGCTGCCACCAAGCTGAAGCCTGCCAGTCCTGTCTTTGTCGTGGTGCCCGAAGCCGAGAGCCTCGAAGAGAAAGTGGACAAGCTGGCCCACTTGCGGCCTGACAGGACTCGCTCCGAAACCTCGTGGCCAGGACCTGATGACACAACTGATCGCGTCAAGTTTTCTGGCGGAGGTGACAAGGGCACCGCATCCTCCCCCAAAACTGCACAAGCCAGCAGTAGGAGGTGAATCAGCTGCTGCATTGCGAGACAAGCCGGTCAACACCGGGGACTTGACCAGCTAGCGCTTGAACCCCGCTTGCCGAGAGACTTTCTGTGCCACATCTGCCCACTGATTTCCAATTCAGATCAAGCACAAGTCTCCACAGGGACGCTTTGCGTTTCTCGTCACATGTGCACTCGACATCATGTCTGCTAGCCCTCATGGGGGGTGACGGCAGGGCTCATGCGATCTCAAGCCCATCGTCTTTCTGCTGACCATTAAGCTAGCTTGTTAGGATCAGGCCGTCACAAAGCCCTGACAGCCCTGCATACGGACGCAAGCAAGCTGCCCCTTCAGACGTGCGCTGCGGAGCTGTGGATAGCCGGCGTCCACAACTCGCACAACCTGGGCTGAAGAGCAGCATGCTGAGGTCCATGGCATCCAGTCTTCCGTGTGGGGATTTCCGAGAATCGGGAGTGCCCTTGTTGCGGGGTCCCATAATCCGCCGACCCCCTTAGTCGGCGTCAAGAAGCTGGACTCGTACTTTTCTCCCTGGACCCGCAGTTACCTCTCCCCACGGCACTGCGCGGCCTGCCCCTTCCCTGCACTCGCGTTTTTTGTTGGTACCCTTTTTTCTGGAACTGCGCGTTTTTGTTGGCACCTTTCCCCCCCCGACCCCCCTACCCCCCCTTTCCCCCGCCTGCCTCGCCGCCCTGACAGGAGAAGGACCCCCCCCCCCACGTTTTGTGCCCCTCCCCCTTCCCCCCCCCTCCCCCCCCCCTCCCTTCCCCCCCCCCTACCCCCCCCCCCTACTCCCCCCCCCCTACCCCTCCCCCCTACCCCGCCCCCCTACTCCCCTGCCTAGCCGCCCAACCAAAAACAACCGAATTAACAACCGAATTTGTTGTTTTGGAAGGCGGCCAAGCGGGTGGGACCACGCGTTTTGTGTTCCCTACCCTTAATAGCCGCCAGGAGAAGGACCAAAAACAGCCGAATTTGTTGTTTTGGAAGGCGACAGATGTTGGCTACTTTCCATGCATGGGAGCCACTCAAGAGCAGGCTTGTGTGTTTTTTGGGTGATCATCCGGAAGATGCCCGGCGGTGCCCGGACGTCCTTATCTTGGGGGTCGGCGGCAGCGGCGTCAGCCTTTAATAAGGATTACAATATTTGGGGGCCACAATTCATTCATTAGGGGCCCCGAATTTTCGTAAATGCAAGAGTATGCAAGAGTCTCGGATAAACACGACCCTACGGATCTTCATGCAAATATCCTTCTTTTGAACTGAGGGAATTCCCTGGCCACAGATGGGACTTCACCATGGAACGGCTAAGACATTGCAGCTTCCGTTCCAGTTGCATGGTCGTGGCCAATTCTTCAGAGCTACCGGTAGTCGAGAATGGCACGAAGCAAAGATCTATACGCAAACTCTGATGTGTTAGGAATCCGGCGCTTCCACTGATTCAGCCAATGCTGCTTCGGCAGTCCCATGGCAACACCTCTCAACCACGGCTCCTCCCCCCTTTGTTCAAAAAGAGGCATCGTGATCTTGCCGCCAAACGTGCCAATGACCTGTTACCTAGAGGCGCCAGGCATGATTTTGTTCTGACAACCTGTGGATATGTAGAACATGTCAAAGGACACGGTCGAAACCATCTTATTCCACAGAGTTGCAAGTATGGAGCTCCTCTCTTCATGGCCAGTGCTTGTGTCTGTGGAGAGGGCTTGAGCCCAAACGCCGCCAAGCTGGCAAGTAGGCAAACACAGCAGGCAACAACCGAACTGCCAGTGACTTTGTGACAGGGCTTTCTCTTGCGCTGTCGCGACGTGCATCCACAATACCAAACAATGGTGCAAGAAAAGATTCAATGGCAGACAGCACAGGCTGAGCCATTCGTCTCTAATCTGCATCCTTCTGGATGATTTCATCCAGCATCGCGTGCGCATAAACGTTTGATTCGTGACTACATCTCTCCTCCAAAGACCTAAACAAGCTAGGCTTTGTAGGGCTTCGGGTTTAGGGTTCAAAGCATACCCTGTAAGCCCGATGTGCACATCTGTTCATGAACAAGCCCTGGAAGAGCAGGAACATACCACAACTGATGGGCATCAGCTTGTAGCAAGCTCCATGCTGCTCACATCTGCTGATCTCCATGCCCTTCAAACTTTAAACCCTATTAACCTCCAAACAGACCTCTAAGCTTATGCACCCCGTCGCTGACCCGCACAGCGGTGAAACCCCAAAGCAGTGCTTTGAGTAGGCACCGTGCCCTGAGCACGCAAGGAAGCTTCAGAAGATGATGGCTGGGGACCACGAAGGGTTGATACACGGGTGATCCAGGGATTGTTTAGGGTCAGCTAAAGGGGAATATACGACGGTGTATGTAGAGCCAATGCAGGTGACTCTAACACCATATATAGGGACTTTGTGAAGGGAGCGGCCAGCGGGTCTTGCAGGCTACCTGTATCAGAATCCGTCAGCCAGTCCCATCGCCTTTGCACCACGTACAAGTGGCCGCTACAGGTGTTTGATTTGAAGCTAGAATTTGATCCCTACACAGAAAATGCCCCCTTAAATCATAAATCCCTGAACCCTATGATATTGGTTCTTCTTGTCAACTTGCGGAGATGGTGGTGTCAAGCTCCCACGTCAATGCCCAGGGACACGCCAAGCTCAGAAGCCTCGAGGTCCCCGTCGCTGAGATACCTTGGGAGGGGTGGGGGGGTGCGGGGGTCGTGGGGCAGGGTTGATCATGATGCAATAGTAGGATAAGAAAATCATATGCTAGAAAATAGAATAAAAGTATACAAGAACAATGGAATAATAAAAAACTAGGAATAAAAAACTGGAACATTAGAAAAAACAGCATACTAGAATTATCGAATGATAGCATGCTAGAATGATGGAATAATGAAACCCTAGAAGAATATAATAATAGAGTAATAGAACCAATCATAATAGAAAAATGGAATAATGGAGTAATAGAATAATAGAATAATGGAATAATGGAATAATGGAATAATGGAAGACTAGAATAATCGAATAATCCCAGATTGGAGTAATAGAATACTAGAATACTAGAATAATAGAATGATAGAATAAGAACATAAAGGGGTAATAGAATCATATTTAATAGAAGAATAGAATACTGGCAGACTAGAATAATGGAATCATGAAACAATAGGATACTGGAAAAATAGGAAAATCATACGGGAATAACAGTTGAATCAAACACTAGAGTCCTAGAAGCATAAAACACTAGAATAGTGGAAACCATAGAAGAATGGAATAATACAGAACTTGGAGAGTCGAATAATAGAACAACAGAATAACAGAACAAAGCAATGATGTCATAGCATAGAAATGCATAATCCCTCATGCAGTCTCCACATGCTGGCTTAGGGCCACAGTGGGAAGGGGGCAGCCGTGGTCCCTGCCACCAATGCTCCCATCACTGAATTAATCTACTCTGATACTCTTCTAGTTGGATACTAGTATACTCTCATACCAGTACTTTGTTTTCCCGTTTCGCATATTCTGCGATTATATTATACGATTACGAAAGCATTCTTCGGGCTCACGCCCTAGATGGTCAGTCAGTTGTCCAAACCATAGCCTTTTTTTGGGACCCCCGTTTCTGCATTCGGCCTAAACCCACGAGCACTGGTCAGAACTTTCTCCAGAGTTTAGGAGGGACGGTGATTATAGAAGGCAGGGCTTAGGGTTTAGGGTTCTAGGGTTTAGGGTAGGATATGTCTGGGGAGATGCAAAAAGCTCTGACGATGGATCACAATCAAGCTGAGCAGTCCACCCAATCTGCAACAAGGTTTGTCACGTTCCGTGCGCCAATGAGGGACCTCAGAAACGGAGCGGGCAATCATTCTCTAGGCCACCTTCTTCGACATGCTTCTCGCGCCGTGCTGCACAATGCCCAGTTTCATACGGTGCGGTCTGTAAACCATGAGTGCCGTTCTCGGGCTGGGAAGCACCAGCAAGGTACAGCATCTTGTCTCACGATGAGTATTGCACTAATTTAATGCAATAATGCAATCAAGTAATAATACAAGAACAGAAGAGACCATGCAACATGCGATGTTGACCTGGGATGGAGACATCTCCATGGCAGATGCCACCTGCACCAGATGAGCAAACCAGTCAAGAGCCGGCTATCATGGGAATGCCCATCTGAGCACACAATCATGGGAATGCCCATCTGAGCCCACAATGACCTACAGATTGCGCCTCCTCGTCGGGGCGTTTTGGAACGCCCCTTGTTCTTGGATGAAGGGTGAACCCCTAAACCCTAAACCCTAAACCCTAAACCCTAAACCCTAAACCCTAAACCCTAAACCCTAAACCCTAAACCCTAAACCCTAAAGAACGGTGAACATACCACGCCGTCCACCCGCCGCGGTCCTCCGAACACCAGACAATCCTTCGGGGTTTCCCAGCTCGGGGATCCAAAGTGGAGCCTGCTCGATGGCATTGATGTAGAAGACCTCGCTTGTCATACAAAGCTTGTGCAGGAAAGGGTTTAGTTTTGGGTTTAGGGTTTAGGCCTAGGGTTTAGGGTTTAGGGTTGGTATCTCCGGGGTGCCAGGCTTCGAGGGGTGTACAGATCAAGGGATGAAGATGTGCACTTTCCCTTGCCCCCCCTCCCCCCCGGCACGTCAGCCCTCTGTGTGCGTTGCAATGCAGGGAGTGGCTTTCACTTACTGGTTCTGATGGTCCTTAGTAGGGACTGAGAATAGGCATCCCCTTAGATTACCCTTTAAGGGATTGAGGCTGAGGTACCAGCTGTAGGAGCTGAAGCTCTCAGACAACCCCCCCGACAACCCCCCCCCGGCGGGGTCACCAGAAGGCCCCTGGTGAAAAAACATGCTGAACATCTCCTTCCGGCACAACATGTCAAGGAGGATTTAGGGTCTAGTACCTGGCTTCAAGAGCCCTAAGCCAACCCCCCCCCCCGCCCCCCCAAAACCCAAAACCCTAAATCCCACTGGGGCCGATGCTCCATCCTGGTCGAGCACGAACGGCCGGA